CAAACACCTCAGGTCATTGGCAGTTTGCAGGTAACATTTCTGAATACTAAATACGGCCTGCTTCTTTTTACACAACTGTACTAAAAGCAAAAAAAACGAACAAAAGTAAAAAATATATTATTTATTAGGTCAATATATAGCACTGAATCACAACCGAATACATCTCAAGGCACTTGAAAACTACAAGAGAAAATTCATTTTATTTCAATCATTCATACATTCCTATCTATTTAATATTTTTGTGTTTAAGAGTTCCATTCTCTTCAGACAAAATAAAAATATTCCTTCCATTTTTTGTGCCATCTTGACTTGATGTTTTAAAAGTTGCTGTTTTGTATTTTATGGGTTTTTTATTTTAATAAAATATTTAAAAAATAAATTAAATTTTTTTTTTCATAAAATCACACGGGTTTTATTTGATTTACTCTACAAGACCGGTGATGTCATGACACAAATGTGGTGACATCATCACGCAAACCATACAACGTCATCGTGTTGTATGCAAATTAACACGTGACGTCATCTGGCGACGTCTAGCAACTTTTGGGGGGAACTTCAGCTACTTTCAGTAAAAAAACTGTTGGCAACTCTTCGCTTGGTCACTGTAAGGGTAAAGTGTTCGCTAGCAAGACGATTACGGTTAGGATAGGGGTGAGGGGAAGGTTAAATAACAAGAGGATAAGGTTGGGTGAGGTACATGAGCTCATTTGGTGCCCTGGCTGCGAACATCCCATTGCGTCAGTTTAACGCTGCATTGGGATCTGCAGTTAGAAAAGGGAAAACCCTCTTTTTGTACTTAAGCGACGAAAAAGGCACTTTTGGCGTCAACGAGCTAGAGGTGATGAGAAAATGTTAGTCTTATTTAAAATTGCACGCATTTAGTTGTATTCGGTGTTTAAAAAAATAATAATATAGACGTATGGCTCTCAGGGAAATACATTTCAAAATATTTGACTTTCATGGCTCTCTCAGCCAAAAAGGTTCCCGACCCCTGATCTAAAGGCTCAGGAACCTTTGCATGTGTTTGCATTCAATAGCAGATTAGAGTGACAGTTTGAGTCTATAATATTGAACCTTTTGATTAGATACTAGTTGTCTGAGATTCAGAATGTGCGGTTTTCATGAGCTGTGAGCCATAATCCTCTCAATTATAACACATAAAGGCTGAAATATCTGACTTAGAATGAGTCTATTTCACATGTTAGTTTCACCTTTTAAGTTGAATTACTGACTTAAATGTAGTTCACCCTGCAGAGCGCTGCATGTGTGTTAATTCTCTCATCTTGACAGACTGCACAGCTGCTTTTATTTACCTGATGAGAAGAAATAAATGCAGTATTATTATTGCTATTCAAGCTGTTATTTATTATTGACCAGTTCATTCGATGCTTGATGGAATATTCTGGTGTCGGTCAGACAGATAAAAACTGTTAGTCACCCAAATGCAACAGGTTTCCAGCCTCCCACAGTCTGTTCCTGAAAACTAGTCAGTAACGTAAATGAAAGTCATCCTTTAAAAATAAAAATTAAATACTACATCTCCCTTTTGCCACCGGTTTATTATGTTTCGTGCATCTTTCTGATCCTCTGTTTGTGGGTGAACTAAAACAACACCAGCGAGAATGTCTGAAGCTGAAGCAGTTTGACGTTAGGAAGTACCCCACAGAGGTTTTTCCACAGATAACAAACCTTCACACGAACTGTCCGATGCTGTTTGGTGTGTGAAAGTGATCTGCGCTGTCCTTGTCACCACAGCTTTCTGTGTGACTGCTCAGTGGCTTCCGTCCTGCGTGAACATGCAGTTTTGAGTTGAGCAAAAAGACAAGAATGAATGGGTGACCCTTGGCACGGAACCAACTGGTGATAATCTGTAGCACAACAATAAACAAAAGGTTTGATGCAACAGGGATTTCCATACGTCAGACTAGTAAACATGGCCCAAATCCAGAGATAGTCATTATTATTGCACGTGTTTGTGTCCCTAACATACTGGAGGCTAGTGTTAGCTTCAGCTAAAACCTCTAGATGCAGCCACTGGGTAAACACAAGTGACTTTTCCTTCAGCTGATACTTTTTTAAGACCGAATCTACCGACAAACCAGTTTTTACTTGTTGTAGAAATATGATGGCTCACTCTGGATTTAACATGCAAGCTGGATGTAAAAATGCTCTTCTATTCCTATTTGCTGCGTTTGTTGCCAATAGAAAAGAGATGGAGAAATGCTCAGATTAGAAAAGCCGTTCAGATCTACGTCACATTGTAAATTCGTGTTCATGGACTCGCCCGTTTGGCTCCCGATGGGGATGGCTGTTGTTGGTTTAGCCTCCAGGAGAGAGAGGAGCACGCCTCAGCTAGTAAGCTCATTATTAGCATTAGCGACTCCACAACACAGCAGAACTCCTCCAGGCTTGTGTTGTTTGTGGGGATAAAACATCAACACTGCACAGCAAACAGTCAGCGGAAGAGTTGTGTTGCTGTTGGAGAATCAGAGGAGAGATGTCAGAAAATAAGACTCCTGCTGTTTCTGCTCCCCTCTGCTCTGGCTCTCTTCTAATTCCTGAAACAGTAAGAATTTTTCAACATAAATCAACTCACAAAGCATTCTTTTATACTAGAAACAACTGCAAATTGTTGAAAACAATGAGTGAACTTTGTCTTTAAAGAATTAGAATGTAATGTTTATAATATCATCTCCCTGTGATAGACATGAGAAATGTACAGGAAGTCCCCCCACCTCTCCTACTGCAATCAGGCACCAGCTCACAGACATTATAGGCATTAGCAGTTAAGATAATGAATGAATGAATGAATGAATGAATATATCATTACCTGTAGCACCGGTAGATAACAAGTTCTTAAAATAAGTTTCTTTAAGCTTTGTTAATTTGTATGAAACATTTTTGTAGTTTTAAATCCTTTTCTTGAGCCAGTAGGTCCTAAAATGACCCTTTATAGGCCACCCAACCCTATCGCCCCCTCTGGCCAGAATATTCCACTTGCAATTCCTGCCGCTCTGTTGGGACTTGGAAAAACTGAGCTGACGTACCTGCAGTCTGCTTCCAACACGTTTCCTGCGTGTTTTAGATCATGAACACAGCTGATTTGTTTTATTTAGTGATGAATGTAGACGCTAAAGGCTGGGGAGATTTTTCGGCTGTTAGATTAACGTGTTAGAAAGACGAACGCACAGCGAGGAGGTTCTGGTTTTATAAGTGGACACTAGAGTGTGCTGATATAATGATACTCATAGATATAAACACAATATCATGTTACATCTTACTCTACTTCAACATTCACTTAAAAGTACTGAGGCACTGTGTGAACACTGTGTTTTTCAAAGATAACGTGGACTTAAGTGACAATTTGTTCTTTCTTTTCCAGTCATTTATGATGTTTATCCGCTGCTGTGTTTGGGATCATTGTCCGGTTTTACGACCCAATTCAACCAAAGCTGTCAACCAAAAGGATTCATGTTAGACTTCAGTAACAACTGCAAGGAGCCCAAACCATCAGCCCTCCACCACCATGCTCTGCCATTTGTGCTGAAACACTATATTTCGGTCTCTCCAAATACCCAAGCTAAGCATTATGGGTAAAACACAAGTACTTGGGTCTTTTCTAAAGGTTTTATGGTTATTTGTGTTTCAATGTTACAAGTCTGAGCTGTGCTCTCATTCCCTATTTAGGCTTTAGTTTAATAATTTCATTTTCTCCAGCAACCCTTTTAAACAAGCCTTACTTATTCGGTCTTTTCCTAATTATTGCGTCAACAAATATTTAAGACATTCTCTGAGAACTGCAGATGTCTAACATCAAGGTAAACTTGTCTGGATGTCCCTTGTTGGAAAATGGGCAGCAGTCGCCATTATTTTCTATTTTTCTACTATTTTGTCACAATGTACAAGAATATAGTAAAAAGTCAACCATTGTGAT